TACTTGCTATAGTAAGAGTAAGTACTAAGTGCTCTAACCGTATTTATGCGGATTGCGGATTCTATCAATGACGTATATGACGTGCTGTTATAATATTATAATTTTAGTCCCCAATATTGCTGCATTAATATGCGTAAAGGGAAAAATTACTTGTTGTTTTCACCTTTGATCTATATTAATTTCTTGCTATGTAGGCTTTTAAACATTTTATATATCCTATGTCTCACTGCCTTATTAATTATTCTACTTGTGTAATTTATTATTCTACCTTGTATTTATAAATTTACATTATAGCATTTTTATTATTATTACATTATTGGGTTTTACTATAGTGATCAAAAAAAGTTTGGTCACCCCTGGTGTAAACACRCCGATGTCCGATACACGTCATCCGCTTGGAAGTGGAAAGATAGTTGTAGTTTTGAGTTTGTTTTATTCAGACTATATTCAGTTTTCATTAGTTTTCAATGTGTTGTGTGTTGCTTCAAGTCTCAAGTGTCGCTTCGTTGTTATCATAAACGACATAAAGCGTTCCGCAACCTTATCTATAATAGTTTCTTTCATAATTTAAATTTAGACCATAATATTGGCAYAGAATAGATTAAATTTAATCTATCCTGTGATATTGGTAAGGTATTCCGGTAAACTAAATATTATATTCGCCCGAGGTTTAATATCTATTATACCTCTATCTGATAATCTATGACTGTAATTAAATATTTCTATAGAAAATTAGAAATTGAAAATCTTTAAATTCTGTCTAACAAACCGACAATTGATTGTAAAATAATACAAATAAATATTAAATTGTAGATGAGTAACAGTTAACTTATTCAAACTACGGACATCCAATCAATATAAAAGGATTTAAACAGATTCGACTATGTCAAAAGATGTAAGTAATATTCAGTATTAGATAATAGATTTATAGTAGAGCCTCAATAGTCCAGACGAATTCAGACCGTGCATCGTACGGATTACAGGAACTTTTTCTGCCTACACAAACRACTACTAAGATTCTTATTTTTTTTCCATCACCTACCTATATATTTATTGTACTTTAAATAACAAAATTAATAAAAAAAAAAACTTTAAAATAATGAATTACAAAATTTTTTTAAACTTAAGTAGGTATCTATAATAGTCAGTAGTTTTTTTTCTGAATAATACTTTCAATTTTTATTTCACAAGCGTGCTCTTAATCGATGTACCATAAACATATCAGTGCTATCCATGTTCTTATCTCCCTATTGCCATCTAGTGTTCAAAACATTCACAGCTTCTGAAGAAGAAACTATACTTGTGCTCATAGAGCCACTTTCATCCTCATCGTCAATATCATCCTCTTTTGTTACAATTTGTAGAATTTGATCAGTTAATATTTCATAATTTGCCAAATCTTTGTCTGCACCTTAGCAAGTCAATTTCTTTATTTGAGAATCAAGCATTTCATTCTTACATATTTCCTGTATTTGGTTTCTAAGCGTAGAAAGTTGAATGTTATTGATTTTAGCTACTTCGTCAATTTCATCTTTCTCTTGTAAAAGAAAGCATGACATGTTTTTACCTAGATTTTTTTATGAGCATTGATGTGACCAATTTCCAACAATTTGCAAAACTAAAAGTTGTCTTATAAATTGATGGCCTTTAGATCATTAAAAAATAGATTTATTTTACCGCGTTTACCAGATTATCGGGGTCCTGACTATCAAGGTTCTATACTATATGAGTAATTATATAGTAATTATATGTAACTTATTGTATTGAAGTAATGATATTGATTTTGCTGAAATAAATAAATAAATAATAAACTACAATGTGAAGTATGAAAATAATATGTAAAATATCTATTGAACATATTATTTGACTATAAAAATGTATAGTGTGTATTATATTTAATTTTTCAACTAGAAACTTTAAAATTATACTTAAACTTTTATCCAAAACTCTTATGACTAACACAACTCACCCATTTTTTGTTTTGATGTARAAGTAGGTACCTAATATGAAACTAAGTATTTTATTTTTCAAACTAGTTACAGACTCAGTCTCATAGTATTTGTAGTTATACCTTAATATCAATGTTTAAAACCGGTTTTTTTATATTATTACATGTAACTATGTAGGTAATATAACTTAAATAATGTCATGAAGTTCCCACTCATTTCTCCATTCCTGAACCATGTTATAAGTGATAGCTATTTCTTTCAATATATAATTTGTAAATCATATTGTAGGGTTTGGTTGGTAAGTCTGGTAAGGGGCAATAACAATTGCACAGAGAAAAGTTTAAATTTAATATATAAATTTGATTTTTATAGATAACCATATATTGGATAGCAATGATAGCATACAACTATTAAATATAGACTATAAGTGAACTCTGTTATAATAAATTATTTTTTTAACCATCTATTATTTTTATGTACTTAGCTATAATTTTTTGTATAATTAGGTTGCATTTTTAAGGTGCTGAAGTTATTTGAGATTTTACTTGGTTTCTTCAAAAACTTAATTCTGTGTTTTCTAGGAAATGCTGGAGTACTAGATATATAAAATGAATGTTATTGTATAAATATGAATATTTAATAATAAGCATGATATTGATGTAATATTTGGTAAAATTATGTTTCAGAATGTGGTGGATCATCTGTGCAAAAAAAAGAAGAATTTTAGAAATGAAGTTGAACATTTTGATATTTCACATTCTTCTGAAAATTTAAATAGTATTGATAAATTAAATTTGTCTAATACTCATAATTTTAAAACATCTTCCAATTCTTCCATGTTAACCAGTACAAATGATACTTCTGACAAAGAAATAATTGGAATTGATGTTGTACATAATTCAAGTCAACTAAAACTAAATGAAAAAGATTGTAGATTTGTAATAGAGAAAATAGGGTCAAATGAAACTATTTTAAATAGTCAAGATGAAAAATTGTTACATACATTAATAGAAAAAATGAATGATTATACTTCTAGTACAGATTCAGAATTATTAGATTTAAATACTCAAAAATTTATGGAATTAAATTTAAAAAGAGCTTTACAACTACTTAGTGAATTTTCACAAAAATTAGATTTAAATAGTTCTAAAACACATTCTATTAAACAAGTAGATTCAGACAATTCATCTGCAAATTCGCCTATACTTTTAATCAGTGATTTAAGAAATGTAGAATTAAAAAACAAGAATTCAATCATTAATGATCAACATAAATTAAATAATTTATCTCCTAAAATTGATCTTAAATTGTCCAGTCAAGATCAATATGTTGAATGTCCAGGTGAAGACCAAGACACTGAAATAACTTCATTTCGAGATATGTGTGAGATGTTCTCAAAAATTGGAGAAGTTGATAACAATAAAATTATGAAAAAAAATAATCAATCGAATAACAATGTTTTTAAACCAGTGAATCATAATGTAATAAGTTGCTCCAACAGTACACCATCTGTACTAAATACATTTCAATTAAATTCTTTTAAAGGTGCTAATGATATTTCAAAACGTTTAGCACTTAAAAGACATCAAACCAAAGATTTAAGATTTGATTCATCTGATGATAGTTCATCTGAATATTTAAATGATCTATCTTCAAAACAATATAATTCCAAGAGCAAAAGTAATAAAATAACATTTCCAGAGGATAATTTAAAAATTGATTCTAAGCGTTACTCAGATACAATTGTTGATCGACCTAAGTGTGTAAAAAAAATTAAACTATCTGATTCATCTGGAGATAGAGAGGTTGATTATATGTTAATTGAAAATAAATTATTAAAAGAAAATCATACAATATTTTATTTTTCATCTACTGGAAAAGTGCATTTTGATATGTTAAATTCTATCAAAAAAAAAAAGTCATTCTATATTAATAACTAATAACAATAAATGTTTAATTTAAATTTTTTTTTTTTTTAAATATTAATGATATCCTCGGCATCATGGGCCATTGGGTTTACAGTGAGAAATATATTTAAAAAAGAAAAAATTACATGAATTGTATCTATATCTAAATTATACTAGATTTTGGTTAGAAGATTGGCGGCTGTGAATGCTGTGATGAACTGTATCAGGTTGGTAATGGTTTGAGGATAGTTTAATATTTCTGAAAGTGATGATTCGGGCAGGTTGAAGCTTGTTTGGGTATTGAGATATGTTCGGCAATCGGTGAGGATGTGTTTGATGGATATTTGAACACCGCAGGTTGTGCATATTGGAGGTTCTTCCCTCGACATTAGAAAACTGTGAGAGATTTTTGTGTGTCCTATTATCAGTCTGGTTATTATTACTTCGAATTTTCKATGGATTTTGAATTGAAATGACTAATAATGTTAACTGTTATGTTTTATGTGGTTTAATCTTGTGTAATAAGATGTCCACTTTTGTTGACATCCCTTTATTATAAGTGTTTGTATGTCACTGTAAGAAAAGATTTGTATGGACGATGATAGAAGTGATGTGCGTATGTAGAACTTATTATTTAGTTAGTAATTAGAAAGTATATGAAAGTAACTAGAAAAGGCAAGGAATCGGTTAGAATGGAGAATTGGAGTTGTAAACCAACCTTCGGGTTGAAAAAAAAAAAAAAAAATGAAAGTAACTACACAAGTTTATTGATATTGTATTTAGATGTTAAAAAACTTTTAAAATATTAACTGAATTATATTAGGTACAGTAAATTTGTTTAAATATTTAAACTTTGTTACTAGGCACTAATTAGTCATAATTACTAAATGATCCGATTCAACTTCTTTGATTAAAACTGAACTAAGATTTAATAATGGTAAATTTCAATACCAAAGCAGTTCCTTGTTGGTTATAGATAGTTATAACAAAATATAATTTTTATTTTAACATAATCTATCACAAAATTAAATTCATATTTTAAAACATTTATAAAATTTTTTTTAGAATAAATTTAAACTTCAGTTATTTTTTTTATATCAATATTGTGTGTCTAATATATAAGATCAATTTTTACACATTAACATGTTAATAATGATTTGATAATCAAAATTTGATTTTAAATTGTTAATTATGTTTGTTTTTTTAATGATTTAATTAAGTGTATAATTTTTTTTTTAAATGATGAATGGTTCATGATAAAAAAATTATCTACTTTTTAATATGTAAATATGTAATCTTGTATAGTGTATACAACTTGTTTACTACCTAACCATAGTCTATAGATAATATATTACATTTTGTAATTTATGAATTCCTAAATAAAATTTGAATTAAAATGCTATACACTGTATTTACTTATGAGCATGTACATTTAGCATGTACTCATATCG